TTTGGGTTCTTGTTGTCGTTCAAAAGCATTTCATTTCTTCATGTTTTAGCTTTTTTATTTATTTATTTATTTTGTATTTGTCTTTGTTAGTTTTTATTAATTCTGGCTGGAATTGATCAAAGTTATGAAAAAAAATGTCCAGTAGCAAACACTTAAATTGTGTAAGTGCCAATATGTTATTATTATTATGATTTTTCTACGACCACACCTCAGTGCTGTCCACACAATTTTATAGCATATAAAAAGCCTTTTAAAGATTCTTGCCATTTAAAGCGTTTGCCTATTGGTGTTCTGTTAAACACAAAAAAAAAATAAAAACAAAAAATTGAGCGGCCTGCTACCCACATATATATGTAGGCACACAAATGTGCAGCACAAATTGAGACAGATTACAAACATAACCACTGCCGTAAAAAGTTGTCAGTGTCATTCGGCAGGCAAAAACTATGCGGCGGTTTCCATTTGAAAAATTTAGTTTAGTATTTGTGAACAGTTTACATATCCACAATGCAGTTATTTTCATAATTGCAAAACCACAAATTCACTCCAGTCCAGTTCAAGTCCCCTGCCACGCGCCGATGTGGCTCGATTTTGTTTGGTCAACACTGGCGCAGACCCAATTTGTAAACAAGTCCATTGCATGACCACAAAAGCTGGCTGACTGACTGCCTGCCTGGCTGACTGTCTGCCTGACTGCCTGGCGCAATGGTGTCGCAAACGAATGCGAAATTTGTAATTGTGGTCATTCAATTGTTGGCCGTCGAGAGTTGTAGGGTAAATAGTATGGCTGCCATTTAAAGTGGAATTTACGAGGCTCAAATAAAAATTGTTTAAATGTTTTTCTATCCATCGCTCACGCACATATACGCACGCAAACATACGCACACGCACATATTTATGTACACGCATGCCAATGTACTCAACGTGATTCCCACACACATGGGCTCGGCTCGGCAGTACCACTGGGCCTCAAGTGTCACACACCAATACAACGGCCGCAACAGCAGCAACAATCCACACCCATGATGATGATGAGCGGAAGTCAAAGAATGTTAACAACACTGGCTGCGGCACTGAAAGCAACAACTTCCGGTGCGACAACAAACGACAATGGCACCGGCAACTCGAACGTCGTGGCGTCAACCACTCCGAGGCCAACAGCAATAACAGAAGCAACAATGGTGGCCTCAGCAGCTTTGGCTTTGGCAGCGGACGGCGTAAGAGCCGCTTCAGTGCCGTCCAGGGAGGTGTTGTGTGGTGGCGCGGGAGGAGTGGCCTGCGGTGAAATAAACGGAAATCCGACAACACCGACCGCATCGGCGGCGACATCGACATCGGCATCGGCATCGGCATCGGCATCGGCAACATCGGCATCAACGACATTTTACACAAATGTCATGGGAAATTGCAATAGCCACAAAAATAATGGCAATTCCATGAATGATAACAAGTGCTACAACAACAACAACAGCAACTGTAACAAAATGAGCAATTCCGGCAATGGCGGTCAGAAGCAGCAGCAGGAGCAGCCACATCAACCAATGGAGTTGAATATATCAGTAGCCGGGCCGATTGCGAGTCCGGGTACGGGGCGGCCGCCGCCACCCTTGGGTCCCGCCTCCCTGTTCTGCGGCAATGGCACAGCAATGGATGATTTCAACTTGAGTATTGCTGCCGGTGGCGACGGTGGGCTTGGGGGGGGAGGCGGCCACTGTAATGACGGCTGCAACACGGCTGCCATGTATTCCACAAATACCAACAACAACAACAGCAACAACAATTGTATTGACCACAACGGCAATAGTAACCTAACTAATTGCCTGAATGGCAACAATGGCAGCACAAACAATGCCAACAACAACAGCAGTATGTTTGTCACTATGCAGTCGCATGGCTCACTCCTGCAAAAGCAACAACAACAACAACAACAACAACAACACATACAAATGCATTTCGACACGCACTCGCATACACAATTTCCAATCGAGGGCAACTCGCCGCCTTGCAACTCGACGCCCCCCCACGCCATCCACATCACTGCGCCACGCCACAAAGGCTGGCACCAAATGTGACTCCGCGGCCGCTGTTGCACTCGGGCTCCCTATGGCGTTGCCATTATCATTGTCCCTGCATTTGCCGATGTCCTCGTCAGCCTTGACTTGCCGCACCGCCGCGGCATCAGACGCAACGCAGTGTGCCTATTGTTGTCAGCCAATTTGTGATCGTTACATAATGCGAGTCGTGGACACTTCATTTCACGAGGGATGCCTCAAGTGCGCCACCTGCGCCCTGCACTTGCTCCACTCCTGTTATGCGCGCGATGGCAAACTTTATTGTCGCATAGACTATGAAAGGTAAATATTATTTGCTCATGATTTGCAATATGTATGCGTATATATATATATATGTATATGTTTGTATATACACATTTATTTGGGTACCGTTAGTATGTTTATTGTTTGAATGGTTATGAAATGTACTTACATATTTCATATTTAGTAGATATGTATGTAGGTATGTGCATTTAAAAACAAGTACAGTATAAGTACATAACATAAAACCAAACAAATGAAAGCTTGAAGAGCTTTAAGGCGTTCAAGTAATCTAATTAAATAAACGCTGAATCCCAATCAATTGTCAGGGCGTATACGTAATATTTGTGTATTGCTCTTAGAATTCGGTTAGAGGCAAAATATTTCAAATATTATACTAGTAAAATTTCAGTTACTCTCACTTCATTATTAGACAAAATTAATTACTTTTTTCTATGTATAAATAATTTCCACGCAATTAATTATTCATTCTATTACACCGTGCCACAAAAACAGGAAAATTTCAAAAACACGCGAAAAAATCGATATACTCACGAAACTATAGGGCAAATATAGTAAAACTGTGTTTTTAAACGACTTCCAAAAAAGTAGGAGGTTATCTGTTCGTCGGAATATTTTTTTATTTTTTTTTTATTTTTTTTTTATGTATGTTACCGCATAACTTTGGACCACGTCAACCGATTTCGATAATTCTTTTTGCATCGGAATCTGGTTAAGATCCGATCAGTGGGTCATGAGAGATATATATATATATATATATATTTTTCTTATATGAGAGTTGAAGTCGGTTTTTTTTTTGCTAAAAATTACTTGTTAGTTTTTCACTCCGTCGTCAGGAATTTTTGTTTCATGGACTTTAATTAATTAATTAATTAATTTTAAAGAAAAAAAATCAGTGTAATATAGAGGCTGCGTTTCTTTATACATTCCGGATAATCCCATTTCACAGCCGGAATAAACAGAATGCATTTGAAATATACGTCAACTTATCATCAGGAACGTTCTAAAGAATAAATAAACAAACAGGTTTATTCCACACGTTCAGAATGAATAAAGAAATGCAGCCAGAATAAAAATATGGGTACCAAGTGAGCAAGAAAATTCTGTAGCATTTAAAAACAATACAGTTTTTTTGGTATACCAGGACGAATAGGTATTGAAAATGTGCTTTTAAAAATTTTATCTTTTTAAGTTAATAAAGTTTGCATATAACCGGCATGCAAGGCACTTTCAGTTATCCCTTCCTGCATTGATCTCTTAAAGCGTCATTGGAAAGCCTTCGAAAGGTAAAGGCCGATTGGCTCGAGGTGTTGCAAAATGATCTCTCACACAGATCTATAAGTCACGTATGAAATCTAAACAGTATCTAGTAAACAGTAGTAGTAGTAGTAGTAACAGTAACTAGTATCTAGTATTCATAACTTTAATCTAAAATTATTTCATCAAAGTTACCTTATTACATTTTAATGCATTTACATACATACATACATATACACATACTCACAGACAATTTCTGCGCAATCGATGCCTCGGCTGTGGTCACAGAATCGCCTCTGATGAGCTGGTTATGCGAACTTTTGACAGCGTTTTCCATTTGAAATGTTTTGCCTGCGTAGTATGCGGCGGCATCTTGAAGAAGGGAGAGCAGTATGTGGTGAAGCAGGGTCAACTATTCTGCCGTTTGGATTATGAAAAGGAGGTGGAAATGCTGCAGGGTTATGGTAGGTTGGAAATCACAAAAGTCGAAACTAAAAATACGCTAGTTTTCATTCACCATTTAGCTATGAAAATGTTTGCAAACTTGTTCGTATGTACATTCGACCATACCAGAAAAAAAGTTCGCCTTACACCTCTGGTTCTAAAAAAATTTAGGCAATTTAGAAAAAATATATATATTTTTTTTTTGCCCGACCGCAGTGGTTGGTTTTTGCATTTTTCGTCACACCTTCTGTATTTACAATCGGATTTGAAAGTAGCAGTTTCTTTTCTTTAACCTCAGGTACTCTGTTCTGATACTTACCAACCAGATCTCAGTTCTTATCACCATAACGTCTCACCCCAATGCCAGTAAATTAAATATCGCAAAAAATCATTATACTTTTGCTAAGGTAATATTTCAAATATTCCAGTAGAACTATTTAAAAAATACATTAGGGCGGGTTGATTTGTATGGATGAAAAAAAAATTAAAAATCGTATAGCAAAAACGTAATCTACATTAAATTCTAAGAAAATTATCTGAAGAAACCATGGGTCTAAAATCAAACCCTATTCCGCGCTTCTCGACTTGAAAATTTTGTTCCTCTTCTTTCGCTAAAATTATTTTCTTTTTTTGAAATATATTTTGTTTTATTATATTATATTAAAGTTTATGCAATGCAGGTTTTGTTTTGAGACTAATCAAAATATTCAATTATCAAAAAAGCAGTTGAACCCCAATTTGCATCTCCTCTGATTTGCGTGCTTGGGTGAATATTTTTTTTAATGAAAAAAAATTTTGAGTGTAGAAAAAATATAAAGTGCAAAAGAACTACCTTACTAAACAATTTTATTCAGAAAATTCGATTTCTTTTTGGAAAAACCTATTTTTTCTAACATTTATTTTTTTGGCAAAGGCAGCCATATAAATTTTCAAGTCGAGAGGCGCAGGTTAGGATTTTATTTTAGATACATGGTTTCTTCGGAGAATTTTCTTAGAATTTTATATAGTTTACGTTTTTGCTATACGATTTAAAAAAAAAAATCAACCCGCCCTAATATACATACTTTATGGCTTTTTAGTGAAAAGTTTTTACATTTTTTGGTGCACCTACATATGTATGTATGTATGTAGGATCGCCAAACAATAAAATGTTTTTAGGAAATTGCCCTGCAAAATACTCAGAAATAGGACTCAGAGGTGTACAGGGAACTTTTGTTTGGTGGCGTGTAAGGTGGAATGGTCTAATGTACATATGTGTTTATATGTATGTATGTATGTGCCCATGTGTTGTTTAATTTATTTTCTCTCTACGCGCAGATTTTTATGGCGACGACTTATTTACGCCGAAATTGGATGGACGACGTGGTCCTAAGCGACCCCGCACCATTCTGAATACACAGCAGAGAAGGGCTTTCAAAGCATCTTTTGAGTTATCGCCAAAACCATGTCGAAAAGTAAGAGAGAATTTAGCAAAGGAGACTGGATTAAGTTTAAGAATTGTACAGGTAAAGATGCGTTATATGTAAACATATTTTTTTTTGAAACATTAAGGGTGTTCACACCTGCCTGGTTATCTTGTTATTTACCCGTATTTTTTATTCAGTTTATAACAATGAAATACACTAGAAAATAATAATTTTTAACCAGTTAGTCTAATTACCAGGAAGGTGTGAGTGACTACATTATTTTATTATGGCTTAAAAAAATAAATAAAAAAATGTGTGTAATCATACTAATACTAAAACTAAAAAAATAAAATAAAATAAATAAAGGTAGATCCTCTTGCAGAAAACTGTATTAAATTCCGCTCAAACTTATGTACACTAATAGCCAACACTTCTTTGCTTACTCACCACATTAGGTTTGGTTTCAAAATCAGCGTGCCAAGGTGAAAAAAATCCAAAAGAAGGCGAAGCAGGAACACTCGAAAGGAGCTAGCGACTCACAAGATTCTCAAGAATCGGACAGTAGCAATTTGGCGAAGATTAAAGACGAAGCTCACAGTGACAGTGAATCGCTGCTGGATTCGCCGTTTTCCGCTTGCATTGGCAGCGGAGGCAGTGGTGGGGGTGGCAGTGGTGGGGGTGGCAGTGGCGTTGGCGTTGGCGTTGGCGGTGTATCCTCCTGTGCAGATGGCGCTGTAAAAATGCGCTCTATCAAAGATGAAAATGAGAATACGTCATTTAATTGCATGGAAACCAATAAAGGTGCGTTGCTAACAATATCAAAGGAGGTAAGAGACTTGCACTTGCGCTTCTTTGACGCTACCTGCTACTCTTTTACGCTTCTACTAGCACTTATTTACGTAAATATGTATTTATGCGCAGTTACTATGTAAATGCAAAAGAATCATAAAAGTGAAGCAAGCCTGTTTCGTGAGTGCCCAAACCGGCATTTTTAGATTATTTCCTTTGTAGTCACTTAAAATTAAGGCAGTCGCGTAAAAAGTGTGTGAATATTTTCAAAGTTAGTTCAAATCACTAGCACCAGTAGTATTTAATTCGAATTTCCATGAGTGCTTTGGAAAAATATTTATAAATTTTTTTTTAATTTTGTTAATATTTATAAAGTCTTATAAATGCACGAAATTTTCGCGATCAGCGATCGTACAGATCGTAGTCCTGGTCGAGTCGGGAAAGCCCTTGGATATCGCTTATTTTCTGACGGAGTCTTGTCCGGAAATAACTCGACGTAAACCTTAATACATATTTTTCCGAAATATTTGGCGGAAATCTTTAAATAAAATATATGTTATAATTACGGTGGAAAAATGATTGAAATCGGTTCGCGTAGTCAAAAGATATCGGCGAACATACAACAAGAAACCAAAAAAGGTTCCGACGATTTATAAACCTTCTTCGTACACACATATGTAGATATATATAAATTCAAAACTTTAAAGCCGTTTATCTCGAGTTTTGCTTTTTTGACACTCTTAAAGTAAATTAGTGATATTTAAGTACATATCGTTATCTGAAATGCACAAAACAACATCGTCGAAAAAGTCGTGACTAATATTTTAATTTTTTTTTCATAAAATGATGTGGGGAGTTGTAATTCGATGAAATCCATCATATAAATCAAAAAGCGAATTTTGAATTTTTTATTAGTTATGACTTTTTGCATTTCAACCATGATTTTTGTTACGTATTTTTGCATTTCAGGTGAAAATATGAATATTGAAAGCGTACCTAATAGTTTTATCGATCAATCTGTTTTTTAAGAAGTAGGTATTATCAAGTCCTTTTTTGAATAAAAACCCGCTTAGAAATTATAAATGAAAAAGAAATATCTTGCAGAATAATTGTGGGGAAAATCTCAGTTGGAGTGAAAATCATAAAAATTATTTGCTATTTCTAATTTCGTTAAGTCCTTTATATGCACTTTCAATATTCTTGGCGAAAAATGTAAAAATATTCTTCTTTCTGAATTTATTATTCAACCTGAAACTGCTTAATACACATCTGAGAAAAAATCCGGGTTTGGCCCATTTAGTATCGTGATGTTTTTTTTCTGAAAGCTATACAATGCATTTTAAAAAATATCTCTTGCTCGAATATCTTATTTTCCAACCAAGAGATTTCAATTTGAAATTTTTAAACTACCTCGGTGCATTTTTTAGGTCATCTTTTGAGGGGACAATAGTAAAATTCTTTAAATTTGAGAAAACCTAACGGCATGTGATAGAGCAAGAGATATAATTTAAAATAAATATTTTTCGTGTAACAAAAATGTCGCTATGCTACATTTTTAGGTTAGTTTATTTAAGTAGCTGGATGAGATAGAGCAATTCTGGATTCAAGCTCGAATTTAGCGGCGAAAAATTCATTAGAAATGCCTGGTCCTATCTCAGATAAAATCATGAGAAGCCTCTTTATCGCAGAAAATCCTCGAAGCTTTGCCCTAGCTTGGCGACGGGCGTCCCTTATAAGAATAAAACCCTTTTTTTCAATTTGTCAGGATAATAAATCGAACCTGGGGCCTAACTAATGGTAGTAATCACTCGGTCGTTATTATTCCCAGCTATAAGTTACAGTTAAAAAAAAAAAAACTTTCAGAAGAATTAGTTAATAAAACTGCATACGTTGACTCTGCTGCATTCGTTCACAATATGCCCTAAATCTTGCATTTCACTTACGATCGACTCTGCTTCTATTTTCAGAAAACTGCAACAAGATGAACGAGCCTTTCCTGAGTACCGTACTCGGATTGAGCTACTCCACATTTCAACAGTTAATGGGGCCACTCACACAGTCGCCAATGGTCAATCCCATCGATCGGCTCTACAGCATGCAGAATTCATACTTTCGGCCGGAAGAACTGGGCTACAGCGGTTGCTCTAAGGACTTGGTTGAGCCTTAAAAAGAAAAGAAAATTCGCAAAAAAAAATCGTGCACTGCAAATAAAGAAGCATTTTAATATTATTGCATCGATAGGAAACTCCAAATAATATTTTACAAAAATAAGCACGAAAGGAAAATAGCAAAATCAAAAATCAAAAAGGAAGGCACAAAGTAAAGCGATTAGCAACTATTAATAGCGTATAATTTAATAGAATAAAAACAAATTCGTTGAAAATAAATTTTATTTACGTATTTAGCCATTTTATGCTATTCTTTAACTAAAGTACTTCAACACACACACACAGGCAGACAGACAGACACACATACATATGTACATCTATATGCACATACAATTCAAAATAGGGTGCTTGTATGTATGTATGTACATACAAACATAGATTCCAACTGACAGAACTCCAGAGATAATCACGCGTGTCATCCAATGTTCCATGTCGTTTGTGCATTTCAGTTTGCTATTTGCAGGTGCAGGTAAAGAATGTGTTCCGCCAAGTTGACAAAGGCGCTACAACAACCATTGCCACCCCCACCCACTCGTTTCGACCGCCCGCCCACCCTCGGGCATTTCGAGCCAAGCAGATCAGAGGCAAATGAAAGTGGGCGCTGACGCGCGAGCATGAAATTAGTCACATTTGACAATATCGAGAGTGTTTGTTGTTCCTATATCTCGACTGCACCATGTTGCGCTCGCTGACTGAGAAGGCAAGCAAACGACGATTAGACAGACAAACTAGTGAATGGATGGATGGATGGTTGGGTGCTCGGCTGCACGGCGGCACGGCTGAATGGGGCTATAGGGCGAAACACATTGAATGAATAAAATAGCTGAAATGGATGAGATGGTTGAAATTGATTAAATACGCAGAAAATCAAAATTTGTCATGCATTGTTCGCAGGCGACAACTGTTGTTGGAACGAGTGTTACGAGCTACACACTTACTCGTACGAGTGCATGTATTTAATGCTTGATATTGTGTGACGAATAACAACAGCGAAAAATTCCTCGTCTCATGAATTGTAACAATGGTAACACTTGTGTTTGCACTGGAAAAATATGCTTTTGCTGTTATATGTATGTATATGTATGAATGAAAATATATACATACATATATGTGCTTAGAAATGTCAAGTTAAACAAAACGAAAGTTATATTTGCAGAAAATCAGTGAACTCAATAAATAACAATTTGGATTTTTAAACACATTGTGAGCAAAGACATTTCAGCGAGTTCACAAAAACAAACGAAATAAGTAACGAATGAGTTTAAAAAATCTATGCACAAAAATGTTTAGGTGCCATAAGTAGCTCGAAGGAAAGGGTCATAATCAGGAGAATTTAGCATTGATGAGCACACACTCCAACATCAGTTATTCAGTCAGAGAACAGAAGACCCATTTGAACAAAAAAGTGATGCTGAAGTGAAAGCAGCGTTTCAACGATAAAGTACGGCAATAATCCTGCTGACGATCAACGTGTTCAGAGCGCCGGTTCCCAAAATATACCAAATAAATAAATACCAAAAAAATATTAAGGATATCACAGATCAGCTGGTCATGATCCTCAAATCCTTAAAAGCAACCACTCAGTACACTTTCAATCTGCTTTTGTGACAGCTACCAGAAGCTCACTTTGTGGCGAATAATGAGGCCGCCCTGCACATGTAAGTACCCAAAAGTGGATTTTCAAAAGTCGATATAAATATGAACTTTGACCTCATTATGCGACCGCATGTCCAAACTTGAAACAGCACCAAAATCCATACGATTATAGGGATTTTCACTTAATTGAGCAAGTGACCGGACAGTCGAGCAAAAGAGCTGATTAACTCAAACCGACGAATGTTGTGAAAGTTGTTGCTTCAACTGAGCAGCTCTTTTATGCGAGTACCAAGACACTTGGATCAATTTGGTGAATACCTCTTATGTAAAATGACTTTCGAGCATGATCACTAACTCCATCAAAGGACCTACCAGATGTGTTCGAAGCCAAACTAAGTTTCAAACCATATGCACCAATCATTCTGTCTAAACTGCCTTAACTTACTATTCGGTTTACTAACGATGCACTTCGTCCGAATAACCAATTGCCGAAATACAACAGGAGCGAAACAAAGAGAAAGCTAAATGAAGCAACAATGCAAGAATAGAAGTAGCATTGCTAACTAAATTGACCGCGGCTAAAACGTATGAAGGCGCCCGAATAGGGAACATTTTTTAGTCTCTAAGATTTCCTTAGAGCTTCTACGGATCGAATCAGGTCTGTAACCAACTTAGAGCTTAGTGCTCAAACTATTTTCTTCCAACAAAATATTTGACAATAACTATCTAGTACCGGAGAGAGCGTTACTTAAGTTTAGTTCGGGTTAGGGTCCTACACAGACGCGCTCGCGGTGTGACCTTCGATGATTTTTCCTTACAAAAAAAAACAAAACTATTGTGCGTAAGTATATATGTATACATACATACATGCATACATACATACATATGTATTTATGTATATCACCGTCATTTGTTGCAATATGTGTCACATTAGCCACACAGTCGGTAATTGTTTGCGGCTCTACAACGATTATCTGAATAGACGGTAACAAGATTGTTGCACCCAGAATTTAGCTTAGCTGTGCTTCAGCGGAAAGGCGAAGCCTCGTAATGACATTGTTATAGACAAAACAAACTTATTTTCATCCGAAGCGGTCGGTGTTCAGTGATTTGCTGCTGATTACACGGCAACCTCCCCCGAATTTGTCACCGCCGTTTCCGAGTGCTGAGTTCATACGAAACCTTGCATTGGTGGCGGACAAACAAAAAAAAAAAAGAAAGCGTAAAATAGTGGTTGCCGTAGTTGTGAACAAGGCGTAACATCCTTTGCACAGATCATTAATCAATTTTGAACAGAGCAAAGGATATTAAAAGCGAGCAGGCACACACACACAAGCGCGAGCTCGTACACGGGGGTAGTTCGAAAAAAAAATGCTAGAAAATGTACATGCATACATATGTTTGTAGAAAAGAAGAAAGAAAGTTACGCAACCGCAACAAACCCTCCGCATCCTGCCCTGAATTCGGCACTTGTTTACTCGTATTTTTATGCATTTTTTCTGCAGTCGTCAGTCGTTTGAATTTGATGTATGCATGCGAGTGTGTGTGTGTGTGTGTATAGGGATTGTGTTTGTTTTCCTACATCACGTCCGGCCAGTGTATATGGCGCTGAATTGTCGTCCTTGTGCACCGACCAAGTGACAACTCGACTTTTTCAAACCAGTTTTTTTTTGCCTTTGGATTTTTTCCGACTTGTTTTTTTTTCTTGCTATATGGCCACGTGCTCAATGATACGCTGTTTTTTTTTTGCTGCTGCCCCGCCTTCTTCACCGCTTATGAAAGGATTTGATGCTAACGTTGCATGCTCGACGTATTCAGTCGCTCGTGAATGTGTAAATTACGCAATTAATTACCATTTTATCGACGCATTTGAATGCACATCACGCTGCTGAACTGACGTCGCTGGCATACGACCAAGCGGCACCGAGGAGCACGACTAACGAGTATATAACGTAAATATTTGTTGTGTTTTGGCGATGTGATTACTTCCAAACAGGTATTCGGTATTCGTGTTTTTGGAGGATTTAGAGGGCTATTCTTGGGGTTTTCAATTTGGATAGAGGCTTATTTTCCAAAGAATTCTATGGGCTGGGTAAACGAAAAAGGTGTTCATTTATCTTTTTTTAATTTCTCCCATTTCAGTTGCACATCATTTCATTTAAGGGTTTTTTTTTCATTCCACTAGGCTAATTTCAAATTCAAGCAATACTATAAATCTAATAAAGCTGTGATTCGAACACAAGAACGGGTTTTTTTCTAAAGTTGTATTCGGTTGTCGTTTTACATAAATGTACATACACTACATGAAACGAGTTTACATCATCCCCTTAAGTGAATGGCAATTCAAAGAGCGTCATGGTTTGTATTTGTGCGGACAACACCTGCAAAAAAAGAAGAAGCAAAGTTGTACGAGGAGCGAGGAACGCACGTGTCACATTTGTCGGGGCAACTGTTGTCGCTGCATGCGATGCAAGTGCTATTTGATTGTGATGCGCACATGATTTTCGTTCGATGTACAAATATGCCATATAGATATACATATGTATGTATGTAAATGTGTGTATGTGTGTTTGAATGAAATGTATCTGACTATGACTTAACTTAAGGTTGATTAAGAAGAAACTAAAGGTCACTATTTTTCTGTAAATTTTCTTTGAGAAAAGCTAACTATATTTTTATGGCGATGGCCGAGAAATAGTCAAAGGTGGTTACCTCTGCATTAGTTGTCAACTAACGTGTAACTAACTACTTTTGGACACCAAATATCAATAAGAAAAACATTTTTTTTTAGTTGTTTATTTATTGACTTTATTTTATTACATTACACTTTTGTTTATATATGCTACAGTAGGTGGTCCCATATTCGAACTCTCGTCGGACATAACTTCAAAATGATAATTTAAAATTCGAAAAAGTATTTTTAAAGTGCAAAAAGAAGTGTTCTCAAAGTAAAATAGTTGTATATTTTATAGAAATCCCACAAATAAGCTAACTACAGTCGAAACCCATTTTTACGGTCGTTCAGCTGCAATTAACCGAGGTTTTTAATTAGCAGAACTTTTACTAAACCGACAGATTTTAGCTATCCGAATTTTATTCGCTCAATTTCACATTTCGAACTAAGTCAACTTCATCGACAAATTCTATGAAATCAGCTGATCGCTTATTTGCGTGAACCGGGTTGTTATGATTTCGAAAATACTTCCAGGGCTGTTTTATGTTATGAAGTTGAGTTGAACAAACAGTTGCATGTAAACGGATCTGAAGTAGTGAATTTTCGAATTTCGGTGCATAAATGATGTTCCATAAAACCTCTCTCCGAAATTGGACTCCTTAAAGACTCATTTATGACTCCAAATGTTTGCTGGGTACATATAAGCTTCACCTGTATGTAAAAATGTGCAGCTTTTTAACTAGATTTCACAGAAAGATTT